CCCTGAAGAGTGTGGTTCTGTACGTGATTCTTTCCCCTTACGAGAACGAGCAGTCAGACCTCGTGCACAGAATCAGCGAGGACAAGAAACTGGAAGAAATCCCCAAATACAAGTGAGACACATTTTTCTCCTCTGCTTGTTGGCGTTCATTGAAGTAGTTGAATGAACATCTTTTTATAGGTGAAGGGATTTGAATCAACAATACAACGTATCACTGTGTGTGGATCGACAGAAACACCTTCAACTCGATCTCTCAAAGACTGAGTCATCCATGCCAGTCTCTCTATGCAACCACAGATCAGTATCCAGCTTGGTACCTCCAAAGATCAGATCTTACTCGTCAGATCATGCTACACAGCTTATCATATCACACATAGACTATTGCAACTCCTTACTGGCCGGTCTTCAATCCAACCTCTGCAGATGATCCAAAATGCTCTGCCACTGTGCACTTCCTGTCAGCACCTTTATGTCTGATCGGACTCAAAGCTGTTTGTTTGCACAACGACGTTGTTTCCTCCACTCTAGATCCTCGCATGTGTTGTGCTTACTCTCTGATGAACATCGCTTTGGATAAAAGCGTCTGCTTAATGAATTGTAGAATTGTAATCTATGTGATGCTCAACAGGTCCTTAATTGAAGTGAAGATTGCAGAGGCTATGTCATGTTCAAAACTCAGGAAGTGATCATACATGCCTTTATGATGTGAATATGTTCTGTTGCATCGTGTGAAAAAATGGCCGATTTTGTTTTATAATATTCCTCCTCCCTCTCCAGGGACCTCCTGAAGCTGTTCACCACCATGGAGCTGATGCGCTGGGCGTCCCTGGTGGAGGACTATGGAAAGGAGCTGAGAGACGGCTCGCCTGACAGCCCGGCCACAGACGTCTTCTCCTATTCGGAGGAGGGCCAGAAAAGGTGGAAGGACCTCAAGAACAGAGTGGTCGAGCATGTAAGTACAGTAAAGTGTGGATCTTTTCAAAGAAACTCAGTGGCAGCTCGCAGTGATCAGGAAGTGAAATGGCACCAGCTAACATGCTCATTTCCGCCCTGGGACTTGAACCAGCGATCCCAAGTCCCTGCAGACCGAGCTACTGCCGCCCTATCACAGCTGTGTAATGTGAAAAAAGAAAAGAAGGTGTTAGAGCTGTACAGACTGACTCGCTAAACCCCTTGAATATGGACTGCTAATGGATTGATGGTTTTCACTCATGAGTATTTCTTTCAGCTGTGAGTGTCGATGTGACCTTAAAGCTCTTCTTGCTTTAACATCTGATAATGCATGTAAATATTCTGCTGTGGTTATGTGTATGTTAACAATATTCTCCCTGTTCCCCCAGAACATCAGAATAATGGCCAAATATTACACCAGAATCACAATGAAGAGGATGGCCGGACTTCTGGACCTCTCTATTGACGTAAGCAAATATTTATACTAATTAGCACAAATGTCTTTTAGATCAGGTGATTTATCAGAAGGGTTGTTTCCCAGCAATGTTGTAATTTTGAGTTTAAGATGCGGGAAATTTCAGATACTGATCAAGTGCACTGGTTTGGGCAATTCTGAGAAATTGACACTTGATATTTTTTATTGTGTGCCATAGCATAAGTACCCCAACCGCTCCGTCATGAAGCTCAGCTGTTACTCTTCCTCGTACGTTTAGATTTAATTAATATCAATGTCCCACTGTGAGATTTGCATGCCATCGTTAATAGACAAAATGAGAGGCAACAGCTGTGACATGTAGCAGAGCATTGAGAGACACACATACTATAGGCAACAGCAGCGATGAGGAAATGAAGTCAGCTGATGAAGTGTGTGACCTGTGTTCTGTGGACTCGAGCAAACTTTTTCTGCATTTTGATCAACAGGATACTCATACAAAAATCCTGGAATATAAATCGCAAAAAAGGGTTTAAACTGTACTCCTGCAGGATGATTTCTGTGTTCAGCAAAGTCCATAATGCACACCTTCTGTGCAGCTCTTTGTTGTACCGTCTGTTTTTACCATGTGGAATTTGTAATCCCGCTAGCAATCCAGTATGATGGTTGAGTTTTCAGTCTACAGTAATGTTGAAAATTCTCAACTCCAGACCCACAGATCGCAACCGATTTTCCAAGAGTTTGACTACACAGGTCCGCTGGTCACTTGTTTTCTTTATTGGAGTCTTTTCAATCAATCCAGCGCTCCACACGGTTTTTTTTACCAAACAGTCTACCACTGCTTTCTTTAAATGCATGTTTAGGACCTGAGTGAAAGAAAGAAGCCCGCTCAATGGCGCTATGTAGCCCAACACGTTTAGTGCAGAGAAGTGGATACACAATGAATAGAGGTACATTTTCAGGTCGCTGAGTGATGGTGGCAGTTCTCCGTATTTCATACTGGTGTATTGGTTGCACTGTTATGTAGGACGCAGCCAACTTCTTAAAATGAAAATATTAGTATTTAAATCTGTCTTATACACTAAAGCGGGGGGGGCGACTGGGTCCTGCTGTTAAGCGACATTTTAGCCCTCTTTACATTAGGAGTCAACAACAGCGCCATTAAGAAGCTCGGCTGCCGTTAAGCCTTTGTCCTTACACAATGAATAAGTGACAGCCATATTTTTGTTGACAGTTGTGTTGCAAAAGTACGAAGAATGGCGTGTAAACAATAAGCAAGAGCTTCACAGACACACAGCGCTGCTCCGCCCTGTTGGAGCGCATGTTACACATTTCGTCTGTCTTGCTCCTTTCATTCTTTCATTCTCAATTACTTCCTCTGATGCTGGCTTAGGGGCACAAAGTCTTAGCCTCATTTTTCCACCTCTGTGTGTTTACGTTGCAGACCATGTGTAACCAGGTTGTAAAGTTTTACTTTTGAACTGGTTGATGTTCAAGTGGAAATGGATGAACTAGATAATCTGACCTGTCTGGGTCTGTAGTAGTAGACCCAGACAGGCAGTAGTAGTAATTGAAGCAGGGAGCGGAAAAGAAACAACAGCTCAGTTTGACTTCTAATAATTACGCACCAAACTAATCTGATCTGTTCAATTCCTTCACCAGGAATCCGAGGAGTTCCTCTCCAGTCTGGTAGTCAACAAGACCATCTACGCCAAGGTCGACCGGCTGGCCGGCATCATCAACTTCCAGAGGCCCAAAGACCCCAACGACCTGCTCAACGACTGGTCACACAAACTCAACTCTCTTATGTCTCTGGTCAACAAGACAACGCATCTCATCGCCAAGGAAGAGATGATCCACAATCTGCAGTGAATCCAGAACACAGTGCTTCATTTTTATGTGGTGGTTCATATTCTGTTTGTCTTGTCCATCAGTGGGAACGTTTTTGAAAATACAGTCTATTGGCGGACTGTGGAGAAGAATGTGCAGCACATTAACAGCACCCCCAGCTTTGTTCATTTTGTACTGTCCAGTAAACACTGACAATAAACACAAGAGCGCCCCCCCCTCTCTTTGCTTCAGCCTCTCAGTGTCATGGAAGACTGGACCTCTGAACATGTTCCCCTTTGCTGTTAAACAAATGAAATACAGTGGTTTATCATTTATCGCTGTATAGAAACATCTTTAAAATGTATACTTTTCAATGTAAACAATAAACTCCTCTCCTTTGGTTAACACTTGTATGTCGCTTGTTGTCACTTGTTGCTGTCGCTTGTGTCAAACTGTTTTTTGAGTCACACAAAGAGAAGAAATATTTGGTGTGTTCCTCTAAAGTCAAGACATCCTACATTATGAATTAAGATGAGCTAAATCCATGCATGATGCTTGTAGGTTCCTGAGAATTGATGAGAAAAATTTGAGTAATTTGATACTTCTACTTGCTCATTTCAAAATAGTTTTTCAATTCTGTTTTCCTGATGCTTCAGTAAATGTAGTTGCAGGACAACAGTGACTTCACGGCCTCAGACTTGAGGTGTTCCCGTAGATAGTGAACATTTTTACCTCTGCAATCGACAGAGTGTTGTAGTCAAGACCACACTAACTTATCGTTGTGTTGTTACTTTGTTGTTTTTATCTCTGCTTTGTAAGGTGACCTTGAGAGTTTTGAAAGGCGCCTTTAAATTAAAAAAAAATTAAAGAAAACTGAGACCAGGGTTCTCAGAGAACGAGACCAAGTCAAGACCATCAATATCAATGAAAAATCCTCATTTCCAACTGCAACCTTCCCGTAACTTGGGGAAGGTTAAAATCAAACTACAGATGAATTGAAGATATTCATTCTTTTAGAAAGAGGTGTTTTCCTTCTAATCACAGTGATGCTGTGGAATAATAGTCTTTCAGTGGCTGTCATGACCTGTCTTGATTTAAAATTCTGAGTCAGCCCAGTCTGAGACTGACAAGGCTTCAAAAAAGTGACAGAACAAAGAAACATGTTCAAAACGGGCATTGTAGACTTTTTGACAACTTTTGGGTCCCATCCAGAGGTGTCCTAGGCAAAAATTAATTAAGGGCCCTCCAACCAATATTATATCTACACGTGTCCTGATGCTCTTCCTCTTTCTTCTTTCACTCCCAAACAGGGGGGGGGGGGGGCCTGTGGACAAGCAGTGCCCCTGTCCCCGTACCGACCCTGATGAGAACCTCTGGTCTCAGGCGGCCTCTAAGAAAAAAAACTTCTATGTTATGTGACTTTTACAAATAAGTATTAAGAATGGAGCCCCTGAAGTCCCAAAAAATAAAATGAAATATTTTGTGCGCATTATATATTTGTTTACTTGTTGGTACTTCAGGGACTCCGTACTCAAGTACAAATAAAGAGAGACATTGTTTTCCATCCTATTTGTCCCATTTTTTTTTTTTTAATCTTATATGAATCTTTCATTTAAGGATATTTTGTCCTTATTAGAGTTTGCATTAAATAGCAAACAGAGAAAAATATGATTGTATTGAAATGCCCTTTCACAAGGCATGTCCTCACTGTCAGGGGTGCACACAGAAAACACTCACTTAAACACACACGCGCACACACACACACACGCACACACGCACGAGTCCTCTCAACCTTCAGATCAGTACATCCCACTATGCTTTGCGATGGTCTGACAAGTGGATCCAAGATGGCGTAGAAAGTAAAGCTAGGTAAGTGTTGACTTCCCATTTTCAGCCCTTTCAGTCGTCTTTTAAATCGCAAAGCAACTGACACAAAACCCCATCCCCGTTAATCATTACGACAACGACGAGTGTTCGGAGTCCACGCACGAATAACAACACAATGTCACATCAATTGTACGCGACCTAAAACACCGTGGCAACAGCGAAGGCCCCGAAACCGTTGTGTTACGGCGAACCCAGCTAGCTTAACTAGCTAGCATGCTAACTAGCGAGCATGCTAACACACCAGCTACAAGCTATTCTGGTTGTGAGCTCGCCAGTTCGGTGCCAAGAAAAGGCCGTGTTTGGGGGGGCCAGTGTGAGCTAAGTGTTAGCTGCACATACTCAGGATAGTGTCAACATTATTTACGTTTCTGCAAAAAAAAAAACGCCATGGCGAAGTTAACCAAACACTGTGAGGGAGGTTTTTTCTTTTTTTTTTTTAAGGCTTTGTAGCGCTGCCGTCATCGCGACAACTTTACAAGGCAAACAACAGCGATAACTACCCGCTGAAATACAAAACAAATCACTCACTACGTCTTTGTTTGGTCCTGTGTGCTTTACTAATATTCCCCAATTGAGCTGAGATTCATTTGTAAGTGTTTTGTAGCCCGTGTTTTCTTCTTCACATTGCTCAAGCCAAATAACGTTATGCCAGCCAGTCGATGTTGTTTTATAACTCTCCTCTCAGCTGTAAATTTAGCTTTCTCCCTCACTGTGCTGCAGAAAGTGTATAGCTTGTGTAGTACAATCATCCAGCTGGACATTATATACGAAACCGATGTCCACCCCACTGCATCCCGCCAAACTAGTAGTTGTTGTTGCCCCTCTGAAGTGGCTGGCTTGCAATCACTAACATTAGGTAACAGCTTTTGTTTCCACTGTTACAAACAGGAGCCTGAATGCGTCTTGGACTATCCATTCTTTATTTTGGCTACCACTGCATTTGCATCAGTCCCATGTTTGGTGTCATCTTCGACATGTTTCAGTGCTTCTTAGAAAACAACATTTACATGCCACATAATAATAAAAAAAAAAAAAAAAAAAAAGAGTCTCCATCTGCATAATATTGCAACTGGAATCATTTAAATGCTTACTTCCTTTTTAATGCATTGTATACAGAACTGTGCAAAAGTCTTAGGCCAACACTGGCTTTGCAAAGTTTTAGTTATAGCTATATCACAATCTGTATTTATTACAGTCTCTTTTGGGTAACAGCTTTTTTCCCACTGTTACAAACAGGAGCCTGAATGCGTCTTAGTCTTGGGACTATCCATTCTTTATTTTGGCTCCCACTGTATTTACATCAGTCCCATGTTTGGTGTCACCTTTGACGTGTTTCTGTGCTTACTAGAAATCACATTTGCATGCCACAATATGCTTAAAAAATGTTAAGAAATTGCCACTAGAATAAATTCACATGCTTACTTCCTTTTTCATGCATTGTATACAGAACTGTGCAAAAGCTCTTAGGCCAACACTCGCTTTGCAAAGTTTTAGCAGTGTTATGTCACCATCCTTATTTATTACAGTCTCTTTAATGAGGTACAACCAGAAAATACAGGGAGTAATATGTACGTTTGCAGAATAAAATGGTTTCTGCAGGTAAAAGACAGTATTTAGTGTGACCTCACATTGACCTGAGCATGCCTTGAACATTTTTCAGGAGGGCTGTCTTGAAGTTTTCTGTCCTATATTATACCTGGCTTCTTTCAGTCCCTCCCAGAGTAGGGCTGCACGACAGTGTTGGAAAAAAACAGCAAATCAAACCAGATACATGCAGTGTGTTTTTATGTGCATACTAGCCCTGCAGGATATTAGAAAGTTGTAAAATATGTGAGTATTTCGATAAGGAAATTAAGTGCTGTAAATAATCAAAGGCTAAAGCGTGCATGTTAGCCATGACTTAGTCTTTATATCTATCTGCCATTCTTCATGTTGACATAATACCCTTTTGCAACATGTCCCTCCTGAAGCCAGAACAGCTTGTTTTTTTAACCACCGAATTGGCACCAATTAATCTAAAGGGGACTAAGAGTTTCATCTTGCTGCATCAACATGGTGTTGAAGCGTGGCCTCCATCAAACAGGTAAAACGTGCACATAATGCAAGAGAAATCATTTCTTAAAAGTTTCATTTTTGGGCTTTTTTTTTTTTATTATTATTATTTTTAGAGATAGGACGGTGGATAGATTCAGAAATTGGGGGGAGAGAGAGTTGGGAATGACATGTGGGAAAGGAGCCACAGGTTGGACTCGAACCCGGGCAGCCGGCTTTGAGGACTACAGCCTCTGTACATACGCATACTAACCACTTGGCTTCCGGCGCCCCAACAGAAATCATTTATTATACACTTTTTTTTTGCGGTGAATTCATACTTTTACAATGTGTTTTCTGCGAATGCTCATTTTGGGATAGCGATGCCATTACGATTTATTGAGCAGCCATATCCCAGAGGCTGTCCCATTTCTTTCTCCGTCCAGGGGGTCCCATACTGCCTCTGTAACATTCAGGTGTGACTCAGAGGTGGTCAGTCCACAACTGTCAGTAGCCCGCACACACAGCACTGTGCTCCCCCACTGGCTTGGCTGAAACTGTCTTACCTCTGTAACGCCTCTGAAGACGATACAGAGGGGGGCATCACTTCGTTCCCCCATTACGCCTCTGCTACATTCAGATTGAAGGTGAAATGTCACAGGGGCGTAAATACCGCGGTTTGAAACGGCGGTCTGCATAGGGCTCGTGTTTTATCAGCTGTTTTTCTCTCCAAATGGGATTTTACTGCATCAGAAGTGGGCTTGGAACTGTTGTCGTGCTATAAAATACATCCTTTTCAAATGAGGCGCTTTCCAGAAGGAATGCCATGATGGCTTACAAAAACATTCATGTTTATGGATCCCCATTAGTGTTACTACTACGGCTAACATCTTCCAGGGGTCCATGCAAAAGAATACTAGACGAAAAATCAACAATCAAGTGGCACACATAAACAGTAAAGAAATAAAAATGCAGGTTGTAGGCGATGTTGAAGAGGTGAGTTTTTAGAGATATCTTGAAGGTGGAGAGTGAGGGGGGGGATCTCTGATGTTTTTTGGGAGTGAGTTCCAGAGGGTGGGAGCCACAATGGAGAAGGCCCTGTCCCTGTTCCATGAAAGTCCTTTTTAAAGCATTGCATTTGGCCAGAGCGTCCCACACAGCGTCCGGTGTCATTATCATTGTCTACCATTATGACATCAGACATTTTTTGGGGGGTGATTCGTTAACTCGGCCCAAAATTGATAAAACAACAAAACCTATGGTGGCCTTAGACTTTGGTGTCTGATGAAGGGCTAGGGCCAGAAATATCATATGTGGTGATAAATTCCATTTGCCTTAAGTGGGGTACACACTTAAAAAATAATAGGGCCGATTTTTGACCCGATTCCCCCCTTCTGACCAAAGGCAGCAAAGTACCGATTATCTGATGGATCCAAAGATTATCTTGACAGATTCTCCTGTGGTGTGAGGTGTGTTAAGAGTGATTTTAACCACCCCGATCGTGGCAGAAGACGATCTGGGCCGCCCTGATTTGAAATCGTAAATATTAAACGTGTTAAATATTTACGATCAGAAATCCTGTTGTGTGGGGAGAACACCGAGGACGGCCGAGCACGGACTCTGTGAATTGTTACGTGGAACGATAGCCAATCAGGAAGCAAGCTTACTGAAGCAGGAAGCACAACAAACATAACCATGACGACGACGACAGCAAACTTGAAGCATAAAGTTAGATGGATTTTTATAAATAAACCAACTTGTTGATTTGTGGCAACAACACAAGTGTTTAATACATGGTGTCATGTTAAACAAGCTGCATTCCAACTGACCACATGTTTACTGTAATGGATGTACCGGTTAACAGCTAGCCACATTTAGCTTGACCAGCATATTTGTTTACTCTTAAATTGCATTTGACCACGCACGATAATACGTTCTGAGAGTGGAGACTCAGGTTGTTGGTGGATGAATGGGTTAGTGTGTGGTGTGCTGAGTTGGTCGTTGCGTTGCACACCACACAATGTAAGAACTGAACTGTTAATCTGTCATGATTTGTTGTAATGTGTGGGCTAGCTCACATTTTAAAAAGCGTTTTAAAAATGTTTTAGAGTGCACCAGGCCTTAGTATGTGTATTTGTCTCTCCAACATCCAGTACTCAATGATTCGGATGTCCGTGCTGTTTGATATTTTTTTGGCACAACACTTTAGCAGAGTACTGCAAGCTGAAGCTTTTATCTTGAGAACAATCAAGTGCAAACAAAATACATTTCCATGTTGATACACTTGCTAGTCGTTTGGCACCAGGGGATGGGGGAACCTATGCTCTAGAAAAGGAGCGGCATATGCAATAATATTTGACATTTGCACAGAAAGAATGCGAACATTAGTTTTGTAATATTGGCAAGTTTTGTTCCTCATCTGAAGTCTTGTGTTTTTAGAGGAAGTCGACTCAGTCGCAGTTGTCTTCTTGCTTCAGGGAAACGTGTGATTATGGAGAATAACTGAAAAAGGATATTTTGAGTTATTTTGTTTTTTACGCACTAATTGAGTGAGCTTTTTTGGAGTTGGAGATGGGGTGTGCTGTAGATATTTATCTATTTGGCATTTTTGCCTTTATTCATAGGACAGCTGAAGATGGACAGTAAATATGAGGAAGAGAAGGTGGGGTAGATGTTTGTCAAAGGGTTGTGCCGGGGGACTCAGATGCATGGAGGATGATAGCCTCTATATGGGGCGCCTGACTGATTTTGGGTTTAATCAAAGAGTAAATCCCTGCAAAAAAACCTGTTTTATTAACTTTTATTCCATACTTATTGGAAGAGCGGAGGAGACTATACGAGGCATCTGAAACCTTTAAGGGATACGTCACCCGTTGAAACATGAATCTATATTGAAATTTCGATATGACTCGATTTTTATCGTATTAAAGTTTATAAATGTAGTCTATAAA